TTGTGTATCGTTGCACCACTAGTTATTAGTTATGATGTCTGAACCGGAGCAGGAACGCTGTGGAGGTTCAAGAGCACAGAAAAATAAAGTTTGATGGGAAATCATCCATCCGAGTTCTTTGTGTGAAGGAATGCAGGCAGCAGGCCGGAGCTTGTGGTTGTCCCAGTTAACTGCAGCAGATTCCTGATGGGTGGAGGGAGTAGTGAGAGTGCTCATTATTCCCTCCATTGTGTCAAAGATTAACGTTTTCTTTTAGGAAAGTAACCCTTAAATGTTGAAATCCTGCTCAGCTTTCCTCCCCGTCTCGTGTCTGTCTGCAGCTGGCTGGTGTACATCGATCCAGGGTTTGGAGGGTTCATGGGCATGCTGGAGGTGGGAGAGTATCCCTGCCCGGAGGCCTGGGGCTTCCCTGAGCCCTTCGTAGGCTCGCTCCGACCCCTCCGAATGGTACAGTACAGGAAATACACAATATGACGCTATGCAGTCTGATCAGCCACAACATTAAAACCAGTGAAGTTTATTACAGAGTGTGTCAGGGTCGGATACATCAGGAAGCAAACTTGATTTCAAACCTAAAAGGTCAGAAAATCATCTGTTAGCATCGCTGTGTTTCTTTTAGTCATCAAACAAAGTTTAATCTCAGTCAGCACAGGTGGTTCTAATGTTGTGGCTGACCTGTGAACGTTTACACTTTACTGTAATTCTTCAAGTTACCTGAGTCTGATAGAGTGTCTTTATTACAGGGGCCGATAAAAGTGGAGCGTCCCAATGAAGTCAAGGTTTGTTCTTGTTCTACGTCACATCTGTAAATACCTGCTGCACACATCAGCTGTGTTTCCTGAGAATCTCAGTCTTATCTAAAGTGATGAGCTTAGTTCAGTCCAGACATGTTTGCCTGACACGATTCATTATGTTTGATGACTTGGCTCAGATTCAGTGGCCTGGGGAACAATTCAAAGGAAAGAGGATGAATTTGCTGTTACAGATCTCACTGTGGTTGAGATGAGGCTGAATTCCTGTGAAGCTGTTGGTTGAAGGAGAATGTGAATATGAAAAAACACCAAAAAATAGTCCAATGATGTCTTCACATCATGTTTCCCCAAAATTTCTTTCTTTTCCTACGAGTTGAGTAGCGATACCTTTAGGAACAGGCCAAAGAAAGACCTCCTGTAACGAGCATGCTCGGGCATTTTCCCCCATCGGCTCCTTGTACGCTGACAGCTCCAAGCCTACAGCCTGAACTTTAGTCTGTTTCCACTGACGGATGTGAAATATGTTACTCTACTAATCTGTGGAATGAATGGGATTGTACCTTTAGGCAGGAGTGGGTAAAAACTCCTGCTTGTGTGTCTGTCGTGCAGGCCTTACTGTACGAGAAGCCCAACTTTGACGGCGAGTGTTTAGAGGTTCACAGCGACATCTACAACGTACAAGAGCCGGACGACGAATCCGACGAACCTGCTGTGAACAAGAAGACGCTGTGTGCAGTCGGGTCTCTGAAGGTCCTCGGCGGCCTGTGAGTATTTATCATCATCATCATCCCAAATCCTAAATGTCACATTCATAGAAGCTGGCTCAGTTTGTCAGGTTACAGTCGTGTTGCACATCGAACACATGGAAAAGCTGCACAGTGCAAAACAGGGATCTTTAAAAGGCTTTACTGCTACAAATATCAGTTGGAAAAATGCCCTCAGGTCTGTAATGTGTCTTTGTATCAACGTTGAAGCTGGGTGGGCTACCAGGAGGCAGACTTTGAAGGCCAGCAGTACATCCTGGAGGAGGGGGAGTACCCTCACTGCAGCCACTGGGGGGGATCTGAGGACGGGCTGCAGTCACTTCGGCCTGTAATCGCAGTACGTATCACCTGAGACGCTAACCCACAGGCTCCTGGTTGGAGCGCGTTTCCATCTGATGCAGCGATTTCTCTTTTTTAAACTTTTCGTCTGTGTCGCCTTCTTCGTCAGGACTTCCTGTCCCCGCACGTTAAGCTGTTCAGCGAGCAGGACTTCGGTGAGCGGAGCCTCAGCAGCAACCTGCTGGGACCCGTCGTCAACCTGGAGGAGACCGGCCACGGTGCAAAGACCCAGTCTGTCGACGTCACCGGTGGAGTGTAAGTCAGACACACAAGAAGAAAGAAATGAACACAAAGCTCAAACTCATGTTCTCTCTCTCAGGTTTCGGGCGTGTGCTTCTCACGTTACAGTGTTTTATCACAGCGCACGCAAACATACACGCCTGCAGCCTCAGAGGATGAATTATGGACGAGCCTGTGAAACGAATCCATTCATGGAATTGATGAAAGGAAGCTTCCTGGGGGCGGAGCTTTACAAAAACAGAATTTAGTTACTGTCAGAGGGCGTTAGAGGAGTTCATGAGTTCGTGATTACAGTATAAAGCACTTTAGGTGACTGTGGTTGTGATTTAGTGATGCATAAATAAATGGAATCAAATTGAACTGCAGATAAAAGTAGCGTGGT